GCACCGCGGGCCGGGGCAGGTGCACACCACCGAATCGCTCCGCACAAGCGGAACGGGTCACTCCCTGGCACCTGCGGCGCTACGCTGTAGTTTTCCAACAAAAGCACGAGAACACGCGCATCAGTTCCGCGGTGTGACAGCGCGTCTGCGGACCTCCTCTTTGCGGATCCTAACTAGTGGCGCGATTTTGAACACGTTCCTCCGCCTCTACGGCGCCCACTGCGGAAAGTAACTACAAGCTGGATGTCCAGTGGGTCCGTTTGTCCACCTCCACGACTGAGGCCGGTCCTCGGCGCTCCGCAGTCCCAGGCCTCCCTGCCCTCGGCGGCCAGGCACGTCGTGGGCCATCAGGGCAGGGTCGCGAGGGGGGCGCAGCTCTTGGGGACAGGATGGCGGCGCCGAGCATCCCAATGTCACTCACGTTTCCCGACCACCGCCGGTCTCTTCTCAGTACCTCGCACGTAGCCCCGGCCACGCTCACTGGCTGACCGTGCCGTCACTAGCGCTTCGCAAACCCGCTTTGCCCAGCACCGGCGATCCCCGCGGCACTGTCTCCTCAGACGCGTCGGGCCGCCGACACGTGACCACCGCGCGCAAACTCCCGCCGCGGGCGCCGGCTTCCCTGCGAAGGCCCGCGCGTGCGTGAGTGCACGCATGCGCGCGCATGCGCGAGACGGGCGCGCTCTTCCCGGCGACGGTTTCCAGGCAGGCCGGGCGCCTGCGCTGCGTGACGGTGCACCGCCCGCGGAGGGAGGTACTGCTCGCCAAGGCTCCGGCGCGCTTGCGCAGTAGCTGGACGCGGGCGTTTCTTTCCTCCCTTTTTATAGAGTCGGTTTGGGCGGGGAGGGGGGGGGTTAGATTGGAGTTATAAAATGGCGGCCTGGAGCGCTCTCGGCGCTGTTCCTCCGGCGGTCTCTGGTTGAGCTCCCTGTTCTCCCTCACTGCCGAACACAGAGAGGCGAGGCCCCTGGAGGACATGGTGTTTGAGACCCAAGGCTTGCTGACCACCAAGTTCTTCAGGAATCTCGGCGCACCGGAAGCGACCAGGCGCGCTCAGCCCAGCGAGCAGCGGCCGCTTCACACCCGAGGCCCGCGGCTGCAACATCGCACCTGCTCGCGGTCGCTCACCCGGCTTTCGCCGCACCCACAGCCCAGCGAGTGCCGCGGCGGCCGCCCGGGAGGTGAGAGGCGGGCGGGCAGCGTGGCAGGAGAAGGGGCCGATCCCGGGGAGGGGCGCCGGGGTCCCGGCACGGGATTGGGCCTGGAAGGGGGAGCCGGGCTGCGGGGCCCAGGCTTGGGGAGGAGGAACCCGGGGTCAGGCAGGGTACGGTACCTGGGCCTGAAAGGGGGATCCTGGGCTGGAGGAGCCGGGGTCAGGGTGCGGGCCTCGAACCTGGAAGCGGGGGGGTACCCTGGGCTGGAGAAGCTGGAGTGAGCGGCCCGGGCCTGGGGAGGAGGAAGCCGGGGTCAGGGTGCGGGCCTCGAACCTGGAAGCGGGGGGACCCTGAGCTGGAGGAGAGAGGTGAGGAATCCGGGCCGCGCGGGCTGTTGGGGGTCAGTGGGGAGGGTGGGGCGGGATGACTGCAGCGGCGCGTAGTCGGGTGCTGGGCCGACCTGTCGTGGCTGCGGCGCCCAGTTTGGGTAAGGCTCGCCCGGGTGCGGGCCCCCCGCCGCCCCCGCGGAGGCAGAGGCCGGATGGAGCAGGGGCCATTCCAGCTTGGCGGTCTCGGTTTACTTCCTAGCGCTTCTCTCGGTACTCCTTTCTCCTTGGCCGTCTCCACTCGCTCCCTATACTACCCCTTCGGCGTGGCTTCACTTTCGTATTGCAACCCGGGGCTATTGATCACCCCTTTCCTCTGCTCCGCGAAGAAGAAATTTTGAGACTTCCTTTTCCCCTGGCGTTCCAGTCTCCGGGGTCCGCCCCCTTGTTCTTTTCTTTTTTTCTGTCAAGTATGGTCACATCTATTTTCATCTTAGGGTAAACTGATGTTGACTGAGGTTCAACCCCGAGGATGAGGCAGCACCTGGTGGCAGAGATCACATAACTCTTAGCAGGCACAATTTCTCCAATTATGAAAACTCTCAATTTCCTACCAGTGTTTCATACCTAGGAATCATTTTAAAATCGGGTGCCCTTTCGACCACAAGCCCCACATTTTTTAAATTTTTTTTTTTTTTATGTAGTCTGGACACCCACCGTAGGGGCTCGAACTCACAAGCGCGAGACGGAGAGTCGCATGCTCCACCCCCTCAGCTAGCCAGGCACCCCTAAATTCTTAATAATAGGCAGGACTTAAGACTCTTTAGGTGCTGGGCCTTGCTCCGAGTACTTTACCGAGATTTTTTTTCCTCCTCTTCTTGCACACACACACAAAAAAGAAAATTGGAGCATCATGCTTTGAAATAAAATACGGATTTGCTAAAATATATTTTAAAGCCTGGCTCATCATTGAATTCTCATCTCCCACTCTATACTTTTTACAATTTTGAGGAAAAATATTATTTTATAGTCTTTGCTTCTAGCAGAACTTGTTTCTTTAATAATATTTATTAAGCCCTTCTTATGTTCCAGGCACTGTTCTGAACTAAGTTTTTTCTTTTCTTTTCTTTTCTTTTTTAATTTATTTGACAGAGGGAGACACAGCGAGAGAGGGAACACAAGCAGGGGGAGTGGGAGAGGGAGAAGCAGGCTTCCCGCGGAGCAGGGAGCCCGATGTGGGGCTCGATCCCAGGACCCTGGGATCATGACCTGAGCCAGAGGCAGACGCTTAACGACTGAGCCACCCAGGGGCCCTAAACTAAGTTTTTTCTTTATCTTCCTTAATTTTCACACCACCTTCCTCTTCTACAGATGAAGAAAGTGAGTCACAGCAATTAAATAACTTGCCAGAGGTCTAGCAAGAAAATGGCAAAACTGAGAGTTTTGTAGTATTTTCTAAAACAAGTAGCGCCCCGGATCACCGCTCAGCGACTGCTGGACTACCTGCTGTGACAGGGCAGGTTTGGGGCACTTGGAGGGGGCGGTAAACAAAAGGGAGATCCCTGCCCTGTGGTTAGGTCACCAGTTGGATAAATACAGTAGACTGGGGAAGCAGCTACATTAGTTTTGGTTGCTTTACTCTGCTGGTTATCTCTTTACTTGTGGGCCTGAGTTAGATGTTACATTTTCACTACACTGTTTGCATTTCAGCTCCACCCTTTTTTGCCTTAATAACTTACTAATAGTTCATAGCAAAAATGACTCTTTCAACTTCTCAGCTCTTCTGCCCCCTGGTGGAGGTGTTAGTTACTGACCAGGGAAAGATTTTCCCGGTTGGACCTCAGAACAGTTCAAGTTTACTGAGGAAATATGTCAGAAAGTACCTTGTTTGCTTTTGTTTGAATGACCAAGATTAATGGGAAAACTTGACCAGGTATTTGGGGTGGAGACCTTAAAAAGGGGGATTTGCAGGTAATGGCTGAGTGTCCTATTTTATGTATTAGCAGTTTGGACTTTAAAACCATTTATTTTACACTCAGGAAAAAAGCCCATACATACTTGTAAAGTAAAAGTTCAGGTGTTATTAGGATATTATTACAAGCTGAAAATCCCCTGTGTAGTTACTCTACAGGGGTCAGATTTTGAAGGGCTTTGGAATGTCAACATTTGAATTTTATTTTATAGATACTAAAGGGAAATGGGTGATGTGTGAATGCGTATCTTAATGACCACGAAATTCAAGGAACCAACTATAGTGGTTTGTGGTGTTCAGACAAGTGAGAGTGGGCAGAGACCATCAGGTTTTCATCAGGTTCTAGACAGGTTTCAGGAACCCTGAAGGAACGGGGCACTTGCCCAGGGCGAGGTGGGCAGCGGAGGAAATGAAGGGTTTTTGGTCCATTTAACTGGTGAGTTAGAGAAGAACTAGCACAGCACTTACCGTGGAGTCTCTGTTGGTTGTTGTGCTAATTTTGTTGTTTATAGAATATACATCGGGATCAGAAAACATTGCAAATTGTAAGGGATGGGCACCAGCACCCTCTCTGGCTGGGTGCTTGTGTCCACAGTCAGTCCCCGTCTCCTCCTCCCTCTGACATGGTGGCTTTAGAGGCCTTGAGTGATGGCTTATTCTTGAAGGTCCTATATAAATTGTGAGTGTTAACACATCTATATCAATTACATTTTGAACTTTTAAATGATACTCTAGCTTAGCAATATGCAACTTGGGGTAATTAAATGTTCAGTCTTGGGAAATTTATTTCTATCAACTGTAGCCTAAAGAAGAGTACTGGTGCTGGGAAAGTATTTCCAGGGCCTTATTAACGTTCTTATCTAAAGATGAACTTCTTTACTGGATCGTCTTTAAGAGAATTTTAAGTATTTAAAATGTTTTGCCTGTAGCAAGACTGTAATTGTAATTTGCATAGAATAAGCACTTGTTGATTACATACACAGTACTTAAGATTTCAGATTTTAAAAAGTCAGTGGTTTAATTTTTTTCAAATGGAGCTGGTTTAGCGTTGTTCAGAAAGAGTGCCAGTGTTCTTAGAAGACCTGCACTCCCTCCTTCCATAACCCTTTATTGCATATGTAACACTGAGAGCCTAAGAACACTGCTGTGAAGCTCTCAGGAAGGCAGTTCCCACTGGTATCAGGAATGTTTGTGTTTTTTATCTCATTTCATGCTAGGGTGAATTTTTAAAATTCTTTGTAAAAATTCTTTGCATTCTTTGTAAAAATTCTTTAAAAATTCTTTGTAAATTCTTGGGGCGCCTGGATGGTAAGTTAAGCCATCGGACTCTTGGTTTCATCTCAGGTCATGATCTCAGGGTTGTGGGATCAGGCCCCTCCTCAGGCTTCATGCCTGCTTGTGATTCTCTCTTCCTCCTCTGCTGCCCCTCCTGCTTGTGTGCACGCTCTCTCTCAGGTAAATAATCTTTAAAAAAAATTCTTTGTAAGTTCTTATATCTTGGTCTAGGAAAGCACTTTTCACTTCTTTTTACTTTTAACTTAGGTTTGAAAATATGGCCAAAAGAATTGCTGAGAAGGAATTGACAGATAGGAATTGGGATCAAGAAGACGAAGCAGAAGAGGTAAGATCTTTCCTCAAGAATGATTTCCTGCTGCTTCTAAATTTAAATTCATTTTGGGGTTCCTCAGGAAGATTTTGTAGTAAATTTAAAAGGTCTTTTAAAGAACAGCCTGAACAGAAAATGGTAACTTTTAAAACTAAAAATGTAAGTTCATTGGAATTAGAATTTAGATTGGCCTAGTTTCTTTCCTAACAAAATAAAAATGGTTTTCCCTGAGGGAATATTTTAATTTTTCTCTTACAAAGAGTAGAACACAGCTGCGTTTTTAGTGCCTCATCAGCAGTTTGATGCTCCCTGGCCAGTTCACTAAGGAAATCTGTAACCAAGTTAGCCTTCCGAGTTAATAGAATGGTGCTAAGTTTAAAAAAAAAGAAGAAATCTGCAAAAGTGTGTTTACAAGCTTATTCTTAACCCATCTTCCTTCTTTCTGAATCTCTTGTAGTATGAATGTTTTTTTCCTTTACAAACATATGTATTAATATGTTTAGGGAAATCAGAATCACAAGTATATTAGTATTTCGACAGGGTTTTTAACATTTCTATATGACTTGGTGCTTTTTAACCAACTCTTTGGTAACTAAGTTTTTTCCTGGTCTTATGCACAGTGTTACATTCTGTGCCTAGTACGATTTATGATGACTGTATAATGATTTGCTTTGACATTAACATATTTCAGGAATGAAAAGACTTCCATTTAATTTTAATGAGTCTGAAAGGACCTTACATTGAATTCGAGACAGGTATCCAGATGGTCCCTTCTCTTAAGTGTAGAGATCTCTTTTAAGTTTAACATTATCTGAAATAACTACAGAGACAGCTTCTTACAGAAAGTATTTTATGCCAGCCCTACAGGGTAAAAGAAGGGTTGAAATAAAGCCAGAGATCTTCACCAAATTCCTGATTGTGGGCATAGTACTTTTAGCTACTGGGAAGAGCAGTAGCTTTCCAACAGGGTCACTTAGAGTCCCAGGTGTGCCAGTGGTCTCTGGGATGACAGGCAAATGGGCAAGGTTTCTCTTAAAAATCATGTGCATATGTGATAAAAATAAACTCTGTTTTTGAAAACTGTAGTAGGAAGATCCTAGATTTGGGTATCTGGGTTTTAGAACTGACTCTGTTACCAGCTGTTAATGATCTTTAAGGTAACTTTTAGCTTTTGAAGAATAGATTTTACTTCTTGAAACTGGGTTTTTTATCCTAAGTTTTATTCATATCTTTGAATATATTTGAAATTTGAAGAACTGGTCCTGAATAGTTTTCTACAAAACTTTTTTTTAACATTTTATTTATTTACTTTTGGGGGGGGGTGCAGAGGGAGAGAAACAATATCAAGCAGACTCCATGCTGAGCACGGAGCCCAACGCAGGACTTGATCTCACAACCCTGAGCCGAAATCAAGAGTCGGAGGCCCAACCGACTGAGCCACCCAGGCACCCCTCTACCAAACTTTTGATGGTCTTAGTCTTGTCAGAACTTTCCTGTGTGTACTCCTCTGGATTGTGATTCAAAGCCTGCGTTTTTGTAGATCTGGAAGATTTCTGATTCACCTAAGTAGCTTTGGGAATCGTAAGATAGATAATAGATGTAAGCTTTATTGTTATGTGCCCTCTCCATAATTTGTTACTAGTATTAACAGTACTTTAAAACCAGCAGATACTAAGATAAGTTTGGTCAGGCTTTTTTGTTTAGCATTTCTTCTCCTTTTGGTCCTCATCTTACTGCTGTTTAATTTGTACACCTGCAGGTGGGAACATTCTCAGTGGCCAGTGAGGAAGTCTTGAAGAATAGAGCCATAAAGAAAGCAAAGCGTAGAAATGTTGGATTTGAAGTGAGTGTTTTCTTACCGCTTTTGGTATTAAACACTAATTTGATTTCTAATTGCAGAGCATTTCTACCTCTGGGAGCAGTCAGATCGATAAATACTTTTTAAAATGCTTACTGTACTTGTGAAAATCCTTGAGGGGGACCATGGGAGATAGAAAACAATAAGTATGAGATGCGCACCTTACCCAGTTGTAGAAATAAAGTGTAGATCTGGACAAATTTCACCTGAGCGGCAATAACGAGGAGTGGGGTAGCTGGTGGAGTAAGGAAATGCTCCCTGGCATTGAGGAGTGTGTGTGTTTTGGGGGGGGGGGTCCTTTAGCTATAACAGAAGCGTTTCACATGTGGATTTTCTTCCTAATACAGTATGTTATAGTGTTTCCTTCCTGTGTTCAGAAGGGTTAAAAGATGAGTTGTAACTCTTGAATTGAAATCATGTGGTTCCATTCAACCATCACTCCACATTTAATAATGCTGCCCCAGTACGATCCTCAGCCCTCAAATACATTGCAGACACCTGCATGCTGACTTGGTGGCCCGGGCATCTGTTGTCAGGCTGGAGAGGCTGGTGTGCACATCCTGGGTGGCAGCTGGAAGGAACCTACTCAGCTGCACCTTTTGTGGTGGCTCTGTTCAGTTTTGTTATTCCAAGTCTCCTATGGTCTAATTTCATTCTTAAAGACGGTTGACGAGTTGGATGTAGGTGTTGAGCCTAGCGAAGTTTGATGGCTGTCTTATGGAGAAGATAACAGCGGGGGAAGGACAACTTAATTAGGGAGGAAGTGATTGGTTTACTTGAGGAAATGTATTTTAAGGGCCTGGGGTACATTCAAGTGAGGTTCTGTAGGAGACCACTACATATATGGGTGGTTACCTGGTACAGGAGGAGGGGTGACAGCTGGGTGCAGCTCTGGGAGGCATGCAGGAGGTTGAAACCGGGGTGTAAATGAGAGTGGCAGTTCATGATGTAGACTGAGAAGCCGAAGGAAGACCAGCTGGAGGAGGGATGGCCCCGCCTCAGATGAATGAAACCGTGAAACTGTGTAGACCACAATCCAGACTTGGCCCAAGGGAAGGGGGGTGGGGGAACCCTCTGGCTGTTAAAGGAAATGAATATAGATAGTTGAAATCCACATATCATTTCAGCTATAACTTTTAGAACTTGTATAATAAACGTTACGTTGCCTGCTTAAATGCTGAAATGTGGCTTTTCCCATATGCAGGTGACTGTTGAACCACATGGGTTTGAATTGCCTGCGTCCCTTTGTATATTCCGGGGGGGCGGGGGTGGGGAGAGGTCGGCACTCCTGACCCCATGTTGTTCAAGGGTCGCCTGTCGTGGGTTTGTCCTTTTATTCAACAGACCTGCTAAGCGCTGGAAATATATTGGTGGGTAAAAACAGATAGGAGTAAGTAAAATATCCATGCCTTGTGGAACATACGTCCTAATGATGGAAGAGACACACCAAGTGTGTAGTTTTTTGTTTTTCTCTAAGTGCCACGGAGAAAAATGAGTGAGGGAGACTGGCGGGGCCTGGGACGTGTCAGTTCCGTGGGGCCCAAACAGGCAGCTCCTCATTCACTTCTGCCCTTTTTCTGAGTGACTCCTATTCTTTTTTTTTTTTTTTAAACAGTGGTTCTTGACTTTTCATGATGATTCTAGAGCCAATTTGCTGTTAGCAGTTTCTAAAATCACTATAAATGTCCTGTGGCTTTTAAATCTCATGCAGAATACCAGGCTCTGAGGAGCCACTTGGAGCTTTCCACTATGTCCGTGGAGTATTGTCATAGATGGTAGCTGTCGGTTTGGTGTATTTGGGATATTGAATCATCAGAAATCAAATGAGGGTGTCAGGGCCTAAGCTATTTTTATTACACGCATTAAAACTCATGTAAGTTAAGAGTTTTCCTTTTTTGGCCTAATTTTGTTGCCATAATTGTATCCGTGGTCAGTAACCATCTGAAATTCCTGTGGATGTGATTGAAATGTTTGTGTTTTTTGAAAACTGCAATATTAGGCTAACCAACCCATTCAGAAAACGAAGTTTCTAGTTTAATATTTTTGTGAGATCATGATTATAATTCATTTGTGTGAAAACGTAAGGTTTGTGCACTCCCTCAGATGTTGGGAAGCATGTATTCCATGATGTGTTTCTGAGAATATTTCCTCGAGCCTCCCTTGGATGCAGGAAGCAGATCACGCCCATTGTGGTGTAACCACTGGTTTTGAATGGAAAAAAAAAAAAGGTATCTTTAGCAGAGCAATGTAAACTGAGGAACGTTTCTCCAAGAGTTTCCAGGAGCAGAGAGTAGGTTTAGAAGCTCATAAGGAGTGCCAGATATTTCCAGAGCATTGTGGGTTGGAGATGTGAGGAAGCCAGCGACAGTGGGAAGGGTCTACTAGAAAGGCTTTGCTGATGGAAATAGCAAGAAAATCGAAAATAAAAATGTTGCCTCTGGATTTCTCAACCAAGGAAAGGTCTAGCTGCTCATGTTTCTAGAAGCTAAAAGCTACAGAAGTGCTTTAGGAGGTCATAGGAAAATGGGTAAGACACTTTCATGAGTCAGCCTGACCTGATGTTTCCACAGCTTCCTTAGGCTAATGGTCTTTGATTGAGTAGTACAAGAAAAAAGCCTTATTTGGGATTTAGTCGTTTTAGAGTGTTTGTTTTTAGTTGTAATTCTGAGGCTGTATACACAAATTTATTGCATTAGTCTTTTTTGCCTTCTATATCTTAAATATATTTTTAAAAACAAGTTTCACTGTAAATGGCTATCTTCATGGCTGTGTCAAGAAGGCAGCTTCGGACTGCAAAGCTGTCGCTGTGAATAAAGTCGGTCTCATGTCCGGTCTCTGCACCCGCTTCTCCTTTTCCTCCAGTGCTGGTCCCGTAAGTGTTCTGGTGCTCCTCAGCCAATGTGGTATTCTCACGCACTTGCTTACCTAGTTATGAAACAGAGTCCTCTAATGTGTGCTCTTTCTTTATGTTTCAGTCGGATAGTGGAGGGGCCTTTAAAGGTTTTAAAGGTTTGGTTGTACCTTCTGGAGGAGGAGGGTTTTCTGGATTTGGTAATGGTGCTGGAGGGAAGCCTTTGGAAGGACTGTCTAATGGAAGTGGCGTAAGCAGCGCCCCTCCCTTCTCCAGCGCCAGGACAGCAGCAGAGAGCAAGGCAGCCTTTGGTGAGTAGGTTCTCCTCCCCCCGCTCACATCTGTGTACAGATGATCTGAAAAATAACATTGCAAAGATGTTTTCCTTGTACTTGATCCTGGGTCCTGGGACTCCGTGAGCAGAAACAGGGTAATACTGAAAGAGATGGAAGTTAGAGAGATGTTGGCTGTTTGCAGAGTAAGTGAGTAGAGCACAGGCTTTTGAGCCAAAATAGACCCAGGTTCTCAGCTCTGCTGGTCACTGGCTCTGCAACCCTGGTGAAGTTCCTTAGCCTCTGAGCCTCCAAATCTTCAACTGTGAAATGAGAGTGACCCTGAGAACTGACCTATAGGGTCAAAGGAGAAGAGGAAGCTCTTAGTGGACCTTCCGTAAACACCTGCCTTCCCATGTGCTCATTCGTTCTCTGTGTACCAAGTACTTTCCATGTGGCCCACACCTACTAGGAACTTACGGGTCCTCCACTCTAGATTTATGTCACCCAGGATGTGGTGAGTGCCTGATCCTGTTTTGAGAGAATTGGTCAAGAACTGTTGGAATTAGCAGCAGAGAATGGAATCATGGGCTCCAGTCTTCGGTTTTTGGGAAGTGATCCTGGCTGGTTGGATTGTACTTAGCTATTCTGAATGTATACCGTTTTGTTTTAATGAGGCAGAATGTGTAGTGTGATTAAGCGAGCACTTTCTGTTAAGATTTTAACTGCATTAATATATATTCATCCCTACAGCCTTGGGGCTTAAGTTTTATATTAACTATTGGGACAGTTCTGGGGGAAGCAGGCCTCCTTTTCAAAGAAAAGATTATTTTTAATGCAAGCACATCATAGACTGTGTTCTTGTATAAAGTTTGATTTTTGTGATCACCGGTTCCTAAATATTAGATGTGCACATACTTCTTGAACTGACACAAAAATACAGGATACAATAAAAGCAGAAAGTACGAAGACAGAACAGTGTAAAAATCCAGGTGATGTTATCAAATCAGCTTCTCAGTAAACTCTTTAAACTTTAATTCCCTATAGGATCTATTGCTGCAAATGGTCCTACCTCCTTGGTCGATAAAAAGATCTTAATTCCCAAAACTAATGGTGACAGTCAGCAGCCCTCCTCCTCCGGCCTTACCTCTAGTGCGGCCTGCCCCCGGGATGCCTATCACAAGCAGCTGGCTGCCTTAAACTGTTCGGTCCGGGATTGGATCGCGAAGCACGTGAACACGAACCCCCTGTGCGACCTGACGCCCATCTTTAAGGACTACGAGAAATACCTCACTGGTATCGAACAGCAGCTCGGGGGCAGCGGCAGCAGACGCTCTGAAAGCGAAGCCAAGAAAATGCCGCTTGCGACCCAGTCCCCTTCCCCGTTCGGGGCAGCAGAACTGCAGCGAGACTCGACGTTGGCGTTTGCGGGCACCAAGGTCGAGGACACCGCTGAGAAGCCGCCGGACCCGCCTGGAGGAGCCGCAGGGGCCTCGTTTAACTTCGGCAAGAAGATCGACAGTTCTGTCTTGGGCTCTTTAAACTCCGGCCCCCTGACTGCATTTTCATTTTCTTCTGGAAACTCCAGTTTATTTGGCAAAGAGCTTACCCAGAATAAACCGGTGTCTTCACCATTTTCCACGAAAATGTTGGAGGTACAGGCTGAAGGCAGCAGTAGCGAATACAAAGGTAATAATAAAGTTTATCCTCCTAAGTAGATTTGTGTAGAACGTAGATTTGTGAATCAGGTGGATCTGGATTCACGCTGTGATGTCGTTTCCCGGATATGATCTCGGACACAGCTGATCGGCTGCTTTTGAGTCTGTTGTTTCCCTCTTTGTAAAGTGGAGTAAGACCTATTTTGCAGGGCTACTGTAAGGATTGAGAATATAAAAATAAAAATAAAGAGTATAACCATATCGGGCACAGTGACTTTGAAAAGTATTAAATGCACATAAAAAAATTCAGTGAATTAACAGTGCTATTGTTTCTTACTGAAAGAATTGCTCATCAGTGTCCGTGGCATGTCTTGTATTTGGGAGATTTAATCATAGGTGAAGTCTCATGGCAAAATAGTACTCTACTGTGAATAAAAAAGGTGGACTTTGCATAGGCCCAGGAACAAATTGGTGGAGGTGTCCCTCGATGTGTCTGGACTGCGGCCACCTTTCCAGAAGCGTCCACCTTGGGTGGCGTCAGTGCTCCAAACCGGGCCTGAGTCACAGGCCCTTCACTCCCTGTTCTTAGCTCTTTGAAAAGAGGGGTTAATGGCCTAGTCTCTCCTCATCCCATTGTGATTGTGAACACATGTGTGAAGACACTTATTTGTGAGCAGTTAAAAAGTACGTCTCGAAGGAGGTGTTCACTTCTCGGTACTTGAGAACAAAGGAAACCGGCCGTTTTCTCCTGGGAGGGTAACTTCCGTTCCTCCGAGTCCATCCTCAGGCAAGGGCCCTCCAGAGCAAAGCACAGGATAAAGGTCTCCCTTTTTATTTCTCTGCCCTAAATGCGCCCGACGGAGGGTGGTCCTGCTGCTAGAGCGGTCCCAGGAACGGCGAGGCTGCCTGTGGGAGGGACGTGAGTGAGGCTCGGTCCCCGCAGGATGCCAGATGCCCAGGGGCAAAGCCCCCCCTGCTTGTCTGGTGGCCGCTGCACCTCTCCCTGCGCGAGAGAGACTGTGAGCGTGTTTGAGTCTTGCTGCCTGGGCCCGCCCTGGAGAGCCTCGCTCACGGCTGCCTTCTTGGGAATTTAAATCTGGTCACTTTGACTTTTTGGGGCACCAGAATTGTTTTTCTGCGAGTTGCTGTTTAATTTAGTGTGTGTCCTGAGACCGTCTTTCTCCGGAGGATCAGGAGGATCATTGTTTGCATCATCGTGTCCTAGGTCTCGCCTGGGGCTGGGCCCGGGGCTCGGCCCAGGAGGGCACCTGGTGCCTCAGCCTCCAGACATGGGGCCTCACAGATGCAGCTTGCTCACACTTTGGGGTGGTTTCTCTTGACAGCCTGCCCTATAACCAGCTTTATTGTCCTCTGGCCATCGCTGAGACTGATTATACCCTCAGCATGACACACACAGTGTCACAGGGGATCTGGGGATGAAGGTGTTTAGAAGCCTGTCTGAGATTTTCCTTTTCCAGTGGCACAGATCTTGAGTCTGTGCGGGTGTTTATTCTTCTGTTAAAATTGGTGCACCGAATCATAAGCATCGACAAGTTTTCATTCTAGGGCTTTTTACAAATTAACATTTAGAAGAGAGAAGCATGTTCCCATTAAAAATTATCCTAATTTTTCACAAAATGATTAAAATCCAGTGGATCTCCCCCCAGTTAGATGTGTGCTTTCGATTTCTGCATCAGCTTACGGGGAATTTTTAGATTGAGGTGTTAGGGGATGGATAACTTTTGTGACATTTTTAAGCTCTTGATTTGAATTTTACTGAGTTAGTGTTGTTTTTGTAAAAGGCGGAGATGAAGAAGAGAATGACGAGCCGCCCAAAGTAGTAGTTACTGAAGTAAAAGAAGAAGATGCTTTTTACTCCAAAAAGTAAGTGAGAGTCCTGGGAACCCACGTGGTGAGCATGTCTTCAGAGATGTGTGGAAGGCGGCCTCTGGGGCGACCTCAGCCCCACAGGATTTGCTGAGCATCCCGTCCTGGGGTCAGGCTGGGCCTGCTCTTCGAATGGGAACAAGGGAGAATTCTTGACCTGTTCATTTGAAAACAGGTTCTAGAAATTTCCTGCTGGGCATTGCCTACTCTTTTCTAGTATTTTCTTCTGAAGTGCTTTAGAGACAGGCTTTTCTTTGACCGTCCCACCCCATCTCCTTCCTCCTCCCCCCCCCCCCACTGACTTCACCTTTGTTTTTACTTCTGCTCTTCATCGGGAGGTGTCATCCCCTCCTGGAGACCTGGTTGGCTCTTGTGGGTTTTCTCAGCCAAAACGTTCTGCATAGTGACCAGCCCTTTATTTCCTCCCCAGTGATGAGAACAGTTTTGTTTTTTGGTTCACTTTTGTTTTTATATGACAGTTGTTGCTTTCAGAAGAAAGCCAAGGAGAAATTTTGAATTATCTCATCCCAATGAAATGAAATTACTTTTTTAACAAACATGTTTACAGAAAAGTCAGTTGTACCATTTTAGAACCTTCCCTAGATGTGTTTTTTTTAAATACAGAAATTTCATACGGCGTCAGTGTTTGTAACAATCACCATATCCTGTGGAATTCCCAAGTGGTGTTATTTCTGAGAACTTTTAAGAACCCAACAATGTGGGCACCTGGGTGGCTCAGTCGTTAAGCTTCTGCCTTTGGCTCAGGTCATGATCCCAGGGTCCTGGGATCGAGTCCCACTTCAGGTTCCCTGCTCCACAGGAAGCCTGCTTTTCCCTCTCCCACTCCCCCTGCTTGTGTCCCCTCTTTTGCTCTCTCTTTCAAATAAATAAATAAAATATTAAAAAAAAAATCCAACAGTGCCTTTTGCTTGTTTTTAAATTTAGTTACGCAGATGACCTAGAAAGGATTTTTTCCTAATCGGAATAAATTGAAGGAGCAGGAAGTGGTTTTGATTTGTGTCTTCATGACCTAAGGAGATTATGACAAAAAAAAAAAAAAAAAAAAGGAGATTATGACAGAGCAGGCTGGGAAGACGCTTGATTACATTATTGTCAGGTCTTGCTTAAGAGTGTTTTCCGGGGCGCCTGGGTGGCTCGGTTGAGCGTCTGCCTTCAGCTCAGGTCATGATCTCCCGGGGTCCTGGGATCGAGCCCCACGGCGGGCTCCCGGCTCGGTGGGGAGTCTCCTGCTCCCTCTCACTCTCACCCTGCTTGTGCTCGCTTGCTCTCAAATGAATTTTTTTTTTAAAAAGTGATTTCCAAAATTTCAGCATTTTGGTAGATCAAAAATTGAAGGAGTCAGAAAAAAATTCAAAAATAAATAGGAAGAAGGGGAAGAGAGATGGGGGGCAGAGGATCCTGTATTTGTTCCTGTCCTGAAAGGACCAGATTGGCCTCCTGAACTCAGGGCCAAAGGAGCACATTAGAGGTGTGGAGTGTTTGCTGTGGTTTTGACTGAACTGAGGATAGGTAGCTTCAGAAAGTGTTTTTTTCAAGTTGCACATGACCCACTATTTTAATAATTGGGAAAAACAGGGACGGGTTCTAGAATGTCTAACCAGATTTTCTTATTTGGGTTTGTACCCAGACCAACTTTGGATCAAAGGTTCCTCCTCATCTTTCCACCCAAGTGTGAACAGCAGTTGTTAGAAAACTTGTCTGTTGAGTATCTGATGGCCTTGCTTCTTTTTCTCTATAGGTGTAAACTGTTTTACAAGAAAGACAACGAATTTAAAGAGAAAGGTGTGGGTACTTTGCATTTAAAACCTACAGCCAATCAGAAGACACAGCTGTTAGTGCGGGCAGACACCAATTTAGGTGGGTATCTTGTTTTTCAGGTGGCACAAGATCATGCTAACCACATAGTGTATAAAAGCCCTTCACCTTGCTGGTTCCAGTCCCTGAGATTTTTCAAGTAGAGCAATGTGTTTTGGGGGACAGAATAGCAGTCAATCAGATCAAATGCATCCTGTATTTACTGATTATTTATAGGCTGAGTTGAGTACTAGCATAACAGAGTGTAAGAAAACCGTAGATGTGTTAAAAGAAGTAACCAAGATGGTTTTCGTTTCACTTTGTGTTAGAAATGTGACTAAGGGGGTGCCTGGGTGGCTCAGTCGTTAAGCGTCTGCCTTCGGCTCAGGTCATGATCCCAGGGTCCTGGGATCGAGCCCCACCCTCTCCCCCTGCTGTGTCTCTCTGTCAAAGCAATAAAATCTTTAAAAAAAAAAAAAAAGAAACGTGACTAAGAAGCTGTAGGTAAATTGGATGGCTTAATAAACACAGAAGGGGGACTAACCGTTTAAAGGAATCTGCTTTATGTAGGAAATAACCATAAACACCTTGCCGGCTCCCCTTCGCCCCAGCCCCACCCTTAGAACAACCCACCGGAAGGAGGTGGCGGTGCCTGGAGGAGCCTGGGGGCGGGCGGTGTGGCCAGGGCTGGGCTATGAAGAAGCGGTGGGTACCACTAGGCCCTGCCGGGCTGGGTTGCAGAACCTTCTGTGTGGCTTTTCCTTCCCTGTGGGCTTGACTCGTGGGTGACGCCATCCCCTCCTAGCGCTCTTCCCGACGAGCCACAGAGAGCTGTCTTTGCCAACCACCCTGCCTTTGTTGGGATGACGCATTCTTCATCTGTTGTGAGCACGGACACCCCTCAGAAGGCCTGGCCGCTGCGACGGGGCCTCGCAGGCCTCTCTGAGGGACACCATGCTGGCATCTGCGTCAGGGGACCGGGGCCCTTTTCCCCGACCTTCCCGAGGCTCCCGGTTTTAGATCCGTTCGCTCCAGGAGGGCTTGTATTTCACATTTAGCACATGAAAGCTGCAGTCTCGTGGACCTGTAGTGTGGTCTGTGTGGTTCTGATGTCCTTTATCCTTTGTTGAAACACAGGCAACATACTGCTGAATGTCCTGATTCCGCCCAACATGCCGTGTAGTCGAACGGGGAAGAACAACGTCCTGATCGTATGTGTTCCAAACCCACCCGTCGATGAGAAGAATGCTACCGTCCCAGTCACCATGTTAATCCGGGTAAAAACAGGCGAGGACGCAGATGAGTTGCATAGAATTTTACTGGAGAAGAAGGACGCCTGAACACACGGGACCGAGGGGTTGCCGCCGAGTTGCTGCTCCCCCACAGCCCCTTAGACTTAGCTTTTCTTCTCTTACTTTGACATTCTAAGAACTTAGAGATAACTTAAAACTTTGTGAGGAAGATTAATATGGCCAATAAAACCTTTAAATGTTAAGTGTCAAGAACCTGTATTCTCCCTTCTTAAGAACTGTCTAATGTGTAAAATACATTTGAATGAAATTTTTTTGGAAGATTTTTAATGTTCATTTATTAAACTGACCACAAGTGGTTTCTTAATAGGCTGAAATCAGGGTATCGATTAGACTTCCCAAAGGCTATTCCGATCCACGGGTTTTGGGGTCTGCTGCCGCCGCTGGCGAGACTTTCCAGCAGCCCCCGGTGTCCAGGAGGAAGCTTGCCTGTAGCATTCTCTGGTGGGCTTGACTGATTTGGGAGCACAGCACTCTTTCCAAATGAATCATGCTACCACGCTGTGACTGAGGTATTTTTCCTTTGCTTTCTCATATTGTTACTCTAAAGCTGAACCTCCAGTACCAAATGTTCCCGCCCAGCATTAGAGGCTTTAGCTTTTTATTTGCAGACATTGGCCTTTTAACCCTGTGGGCTTCCTTTACCTGATTGAGGAACTGCTTTTTCATTTTAAAAGGAAACAAGTAGCTTGTTCTTTGGTTTTGTAGTTTTCACTCTTGAGGTGCTGTTACTTCTCTATTCCCCTGCAGACAAAGAGAATAGAGGGGGATTGCCTGGAATGAGGTTTAAAAGCACAAATTTGGTAGCTTATAGTTTATAGGCCACGGACAGCAAACCCTTGTAGAAATGAAAGTTAAGTCAAAGCTAGAGTATACAGTACAAAAGAAAGAAATACGTCTTAGCTGTTTTTACCGTGATGAACCCTACGGATCTAAGAGCTACTTACTAAAGTCCTGGGAGCTTTTACTACACATGAGCCATGTGATGAGCCAGGAAACATGCAATAAGGTAATGGAATTGAAATTGTGTGTGTAAATGTTGCCTTTAACTTTAGACAGAAGTATATTCTACATTTGATACCTGAAGTTTCCACTTTTTTACAAGTAAGATACTCAGTATGTCCATTTGGAAGGGAGCCATGGTTATGCACGGGCAGAGCTGTCACTTCTCCACGGCTGTCGGGTAACGGATCCTAGTGTTCTTGGAAGATTCTGGGCACGTGAATTAGATAAAGCTTTTAATGTTTAAATGACCCCTTTCATTCCTCGTTAATCACTTAGTGCTGGTACCATATGATCTTGTTTCAAGGCTCAGGGTCCGTGCCTGAGGGCTCACGCTTGTATGTTCTGATCTTCAGTACGTAATGTCTTCTGACTTAGAAAATTGTAGAAAATAATTGTAGATAGTACAGTTACTTTTTTTAAAAGAAGCTATAATTTTTAGAGATTTATAAAGGGGGCAGGGAAACCGTTTTATGATCCAATAGGTTAACTCAAATGCCTGAGATGTGGAAGTTGGCCAACAATTTATCATGAGATTCTTGCACTTCCGTGAGAGAATCTGGCCCAGTGTGTGACTCTGGGTAAATGCAGAGAGGTGTGCGTACACTTGTGGGCTGTGGTCAGGCTCTCACGTTCGGAAAGCTAGGGAGGGAGCGGCAATTACTTTTGCATTTTCTTTTTAGAATCAAGAATATTCTGGAGTGTTTGTTACAGGTGATCTCCAGTATGTGGTGGTCGATCCTATTACAGCAGCCGTGGCCCAGCTGGCCTTGAGTGAGGTTTATCCAGCTGCTAGGAGGACGAGCAAGTGCAGGGCACAGACTTCTGTCCCAGGTGGCCCACCCGTGGTCCCCAGGAGCCACGAGGCCACTCGGGCACTTTCAGGGGGCGCCACACTGGCAGCAGCCTCTGCGTGGCCAGTGGGACGTTTGCCAAACGTGGCCAAACAGCATCAGGATTGGGTCACCTTTCACTCCCCCCCCCCCAAAAAAGAGTTCATAATCTTTTTGCATCAGTGGGTGTGTGTGGCTTTCTCTCTTCCTGACATTCCCAGCAAATTGTTGCTGCTAAGACTCACTGTTCAAGTGACAATTACAGGGACAGGTGTGATGCGTGTGCCGGAACTCCCAACGCGGTATTTCCTTCATGTCGCTTCCCCTTTAGGAACTTGCTGGTCTCTACTTTGATTATGTATTCATACAAAAGAGCCTGAGTGTGTGTGGATTTTCCTGTAAAACCTGAATATTTGTATGTTACTTGGGGGAAGAGGCCCCTTTGTCCCCCAGAGGGCCAGCCTTCTCTCCCCTGCTGTATTAGTAGCTAAATTCCGCCCCATAGGTTTAGTTAGATTTATTTTTAACAAAAATTTTAGAAATTAGGCTTTTAAATGTTTAACGTAGACTGAAATTTTTGTATTTAGTTGGAGGATCTATGACATATATCATCTGTGTGGCCTGAAGGGAGGTGTTTTTAACCTTTAATCTGAAATCAGTTGTGTTGCATCTTGACAAATACTGAGTGTCCCAGTGGCCTTTTTTAAACTGGTGTGTGTCCTTCTTTTGAGCGTTCCCCAGTAAGCAAAAAAATGAGCATTGTGCTGTCTTTGTTTTTAGAATTACAGGCTAGAAATGTGTGTCCAGTTTTTAAAGCAGTTTAGATTGTGTTTTCCAGGGAAGAACAAGTCTGACCATTTATGAATTGATTTTCTTGAAAAGGATTATAGTTTTATAATTTCAGTTCTAAATCATATTTTTGATATGCTGCATGCCAAAAAGAATCTACCTGTTCTGGGGGAGAGGAAAAAACAAAACCATCTTACTATCTAAGTGCAGAACAAGTTATCACTGAGAAAGCCTTTTTGGTTTCATTTTAAAGTTAAACACGTCTTTTGAGCATCTGTCAGTTCTTTGATTTCTGAAGTCAGAATGCAAGCACGGTGCATTTTGAAGGCTTTGCAGACCCAGTGGCTCACTCCCAAACCCCTGGGTATTCGTTCTCATTCTGGAAGTGAGAATCTGGTTGAAACTGGCGTGTCCCATGGTGCCGGCAGAGGACCGCGAGGAGCCGTCCAGTCCCGCTCTGAGCACCGGGACTTGGCCAGAGGCAGTCATGGTTAGGACTCCGGACTCTGCTTGATGCAGACGTGATCATTACAGTTGTAAGACTTCTTAGCAATCAGATAAGTTGTTTGCTTTCTATTTTGCATAGGAAATTGTTTTCTAAAACAAATACTTGAATTGTCAGACAATGTAATCTCAGTTTGTATTAGTTTTTGAGGAAGTGTAATCCATGAAATGTGAATAAATGGAAAGTAAACAAAATCAGTGTTTGACACTTTTATGTTCCTCGGTGACGTTCCTGGTGTCGATACCAGTCATGTGGGCAGGAGGGAGAAGGACCGTGCAGAAACCCCCAGGCAGCGGAGGGTCTGCTTCCTCTCGGCCCCTGCGTGTGTGCGTGTGGCCCCCTCCGAGCCATTCGAGAGTCTGTCGTGTGGGATTTACGTCCTTACAAATCAGAATTGGAACGGTAGATGCGTCACGGGCCACCGTGGGGAGCCCTGCGCCAGGCGCTCTGCATCTGGTGCTCATTTGGCCCTCGGGGCAAACCTCCCAAAGGGGCTCCGTGGGGTGCGCTGTCCAAAGCACGGCCCTGGGCCAGGATAGTGTGTTTCTTACAAATACGTACGTGGATTTGGGATCTGTGTCCAGGTCGGTCTCAGTCAAAAATCTGAACCCTCCTAAGGACGTTTTAAAACTATAAAGATCAAGATGATCAAGAAAAAATACATTGTTATTCTAGAGCTTTAAATTTTCAGTGATCCAGAAAATCACTTATTAAGGCATGAACAGATTAAACTGTAATAGAATTATGATACGATTTTGGAGTCAAGTGCTGAGTAACTTCAGAGGTGTGTCCTGGTAAGGTACTGTGAAGACGAACTTACTCATCAAAGTAGTATTCCCGAGCCAGGAACATCCAGTGGGAACTAAGTGACACAAGAAGGTGTTTGTCCCGAAAACGCACCAGCCCTGTCGTAAGTACTCGGCAATGGGCCACTGGCAAATGGGTCCTCCAAGCACGGAGCTGGCAGCCACAGTGGCCACACCTTGGAACTTGTTAGAAATGCAGACTGAGGCGGGGCGGGGGGAGGGGTGGGAATAGCGTGGTTTTGGTTTTGTTTTTATCGAGAAATCCACACACTTTTAAAGTGAAGCGTTCAGTTGTTGTTAGTATAGTCCCAGAATTGGGCAACCATCACCACCGATTCCAGAACATGTTCATCACTGGCCGTGTGGGTTTCAACAGAGGGTTCTGACACGCGCTCAAGTCTGAGAACCGCCCCACCCCCCAGAGGCCACGTCGGTGCTTTGTTGTGATGCCCTTTGGGCACATTCCAGGAGGGGAACAGCCGTGATTCAGTGTTGCCGGCAACTGTGCCAGCCTCTGTACACACGGGTCTCACCTCAACCCCTGCACCCAGGAAGGGAGGGACGGCCACGAAAACCCAGGCCCAGGTCCCACGTGCCCGGGGAGCCGCAGGCCCATGCGGGCTGTCCCCAGCGCCCCGCTCGAAGGTGTGTGTACGTGCCCATTAAAGGACTAAAGTTGACTGGCTTCCGGAATGGTCTAAAATCTTCAGAACAAAATTGTTTATTCAAAACATAATCATGAAAAGTCACTAAAAACCATGGTTCTCTCAAACTGAGCAATCTAATTGTTTTATTAAAGTCAGATTCCAAGATGAAAGACCCTTAATCCACACATAGGAAAAGCAATACCTTGTTAAACCTGTTGGCTTACGTAGAGGCCAAGTCAGGAGGGACGTGATGAAGCTGCGAGCAAAAGAAAGGACCGCTTTCGTTTTTTTTTATCATCCCCCAAAACAAACATTTCCCCTTCTCACGTAAGTTTTCCCGCTGCTCTTCCTGCCGCTTTAACAATCAAGCCCAAAGCACAGCAGGCTTATCCATCCATCCCACAGGTATATACACAATGAACCAGGACAGCGTACGGATTAATTTAGTTTACATTTTCCCCTCCTCCCGACAGGAGGCTCCCAAAGGTTTTCTCTTCCAGTCAACATGATTTTCTAAAGCTAGGGCATGACCGTAGTTCCTAAAAGTTCATCTAGGACGGAACAGAAGGACCGAAATAGCAGCATTAGCCTTCAGGAGTAGGCAGCTC